AAGACTGAGAAATTTCAGTTATAACAGTACTCAAAGTTATTGTAAAAGCTAAAACAATAGCCTCACCTTGTACATATAGACAAACAAGGAAACTATCAATGCATGATTATTCGTAATTATGTACAGTAAAGCGAAGACAACAGATGCTACATAAAATCATTTCCAAAAATGTTGAGTACATGCCACACATTCAAGATCATTTCGATTTACACTGCCAAGGCTGAAATAGGTGATTTTTCTCAAATAGCCACTTCAAAAAGGATTGATTTGAGGTGTAGTTTTCCTGGCAGTGAGCGAAACATCAACCATAGCATTCTAATGGTTGCAGAAAAACATAGTGTGTCTATACATCTGATACGAACTGGAATTATTCAAAAGCAATATGGTTCCAAAACACGTCAACTGCCCCCATAAGTCAATCACCCGTTGTTCAAAATGAAATAGGAAAGATGAGCATCCAATAATTTACTAACTGCTAGCAACTGTGCTTAGACAATCATCTAAGTCTGGTCAGAACGAAATTCAGACATAAAGTGGTGCATTGTCTACTAGTTATTGTTGGAGAGTGACGTTGGGAGATTTTCAATGGCTGAAACGCATATTCCCTTGAGGTCCTACCATCGCAGAAAGTGGTAAGAAGAAAAGTAATAACCGTTATAGTGTATATCGCTGCTCCATGACGGACACTTGAGACCGAAGTCGTACTGCTGATGGAAAAAGGGTGTGATACCAGCAAGATGTTTCACGCGGATGACCACTAGTACCATTCCGATCCTACCTTCTCTGTGGGGTGCGGGGATTAGAAAAGGTCCACCCCCAAAATAGCAAACTCCTCCATGCACCACGGTCTTCCGGTGCCGGAGGAATGGATTTTTTCTAAGAACAGCCAAGTCTGGAAATAACAATCTTCAAAAGACTGCGTATGACAAGCCTCAAGCAGATACTCCATGGACTTTGCGTTCACACAGATCTTTTCCTCTTTCAGGTACCCTGCAGAAGCAACTACGATATGGGCAGAAGGTAAGTGTCAACAACCTGCACCCTTCCAGTAGTACACTAGACCCAATCAAAACATAACATCCTCTTCAACTCTGTTTCTTCTTTTTCCTTAACCTTCTGATACTAATATTAGGCCTCTTACGCCTTGCCCAACCTCTCACTCTGCAACCATTGTCAACGATCAAAGCCATCGAAACCTCATTCCTGATCTCCTAAGACCCCACTATCGATTTCATATAACAGCTTTTAACGTCCCGAACTCTATGCCGAACGAGACAGCAAGCATCGCTGGTCAAAACTCAAGAATTTATAGCCATGAATGTATACTATGTCTCTTAGACACGTATATAGGACCCGACTGTAGTTATTAAATTAACCTCACTTGGCCATAGTAGTGCGTCTTCAAAATTCGCTTTAAGAGTATACGAAGACCCAATGGCCAGCTCTCGTGGACTTGCTGGAGTAGGCATAGCATTGAGTTGTAAAGAAGAAAGTGCGCTCTCCGACTGTCAGCTGTGCTACAGAAAGTAAAACGTTCAGATGTAGTCACAATGACAAGTAACTTTAACGATCAAGAAGGAAAGCTGAGTCAACTGTAGAGGTTCCTAGGAATCCCATGCCAACGAGTCGACGTTGGTGATCGTTTCTTGAAACTTTTTTCTGACAGTCACTTGCTTCTGGTCACCACGAATTCTGAGGATAAAGAGAAGAACTGTTTAATTTGGCATCCACCGACATCAAATAGATAGTACTGCTGTAAGCCATCGTTGAAGGGCTTTCGCTCTTTCTGGAGTAGCTATTTGGACAGCGATCATGCGTTGGTACGGGCTCGTGTATTCTTGCACCTCACTGATCGAAGATAACAGGCGGCAGTTAATAGACGACATTCCAGCAGGCTCTGACTACAATGAAGAGCGAAAGCAACTGAAACTCAGGTTAACCAAGTCTTTGCCATGATCCCGAGCAGTGGTGTGTGGCGAAAGTGATAGAAATAGAGAAGGCATCAGCATTATATGATACCAGGTGATCATTCAGGCTTATTAAGGACATTGGTAAGATGATGATGATTAGTGAAACCAACACCTAAAAGGGTGGTACGCTGTCCTCTCAGGACAGGCGGCTAGAGCGTTGGGTGGAACACTGAAGCATAGTTCAACTGGCCCACAACAACACTTCAGTTACTCAGAATTTAGCCCGAAATTGCATAGGATGATGTTGGTTCCCCCAAACTATCCTCGAAGTTGGGAAAGCTGTTTCGACCCCCAGATGATGCAAAGCAACAGGGCCTCACTGTTTGCCACCAGAAGATTCTAGCGATGGATGTAGGTATTCGCTGATCAGTGATGGAGTATTACGTAGTGTTCAGGAATCAGAGGTAGTGCCATCAAAATGATGTACTTCACTGACCATTTCAGTCTATAAGAATGGGGAAAAGTCTTATGACAATCATAGGCCAACCAGTTTGTCTAACACTTTGTCAAAGATCCTGGGTTTCTCATTTATCCAATGCCTAACTGGAGCTGGAGAAAACCAGGCAGGTCTCAAACCTAAACGAGGATGCATCCATCAAACTTTCACATTTCAACAAGGTTTTGAACTTAGGCATACCAACCGGGGCCCAACACTCACCATATTTCTTGACCTGAAGGCGGCATTCGACTCTGTCGACAGTGAGGTGTTGTCCCAATATATGACTGTGAAAGGAGTACCGAGCAAGTATGCAGCGCCAATAAAAGTTCTCTGCTCGAAATCACAGACGTGTAAGGGTTTATGTGGAGTTGTCATCTGAATTGACAACTGGTTATCATAGGGGTAAAACTTGGGCACTGGTCGGTCGTAGTTCCATTTGTCTATTTGTTAGAAATGTCACTTGATATGAATATGGACAATGAATTGTGTTCGAAACGTTATCCAGTAAATGATACTATTTCACTGTGTGACATTTCTAATAAACAGACTAAAATAGAATGACAACTGGTTATATCGGTCAGAAATGTTTGCTTTCACCGTTTCTGATCAATTTCGTAATAACCTTAGGTCCCTGTGAAGTCATAGGGATTGGTCTAGTCCCTGTAGGCTATCTGGTTGGTTTAGAGTATGCAGACGACATTGTCCTGACAGGTGAAGACGCTGACAAAATGCACGGTCCTCTGAACACCTTGAGCAGAAATCTGAGCATGTTTGGCTTGTTTTCTACCTGTAAAATGATGCTTTAGAACTGGTCTGCAACTACTCCTAGTTCAGAGATGGGAAGTAAAACGGTGGAATGTATCGACCACTTTACTTTATTAGGGAGTTGCATCAGCCCGAACAGGTCGGTTGCTGACTAATTCTCAGTTTAGATAAAGAAGGCTCGTTCGAGATTTACCAAATGGTGCCATTTCTGGAATAAACTGGAGAGATATCCGACTGCTTATTAAATGGCGAGTATAATACTGAGCTGCAATTCATTCTGTCTTGTTATACAGCTGCGAGATATGGCCGTTGAAAGTATATGATGTGAATCAGCGATGCAAAAGATTTGTAGCTCAGGATGATGATGATGCTGGTTTGGTGTTCTCTCAGCTTTAGTACTTTGTCGTGAACTTTTCATCACCAGGGTTGGTGACATCTTCAGCACTAACTTCTTAGTGAGCAAAACGTTAGCTGAAGTAAGTCGAAGCTGGAAAAAGGTTAGAGTTAGTCAGAATAAAACATAGTATCAGTGGATGGAATCTTTGACTGTTGGTCTGTTGGTGCAATCAGACTGTCTGGTTGAGGTCCGTGTAACTTCAGAAACCAGTGGTTAGAGTCTCTAGGCAACACGGTTCAAAATCAATCTCAGTGGCGCAGATCTATCTACACATTAGTCGAATCTTAATCGTCATACCAAATCGAATAACTTCTGACTCATGTTTGTTATGCTACTACTTTTCACCATTTTTAGAATGTCTCATTCATTATCCTTAATCTTAGAGCATCCTCGCTTGATGTGCTGTTGTGAGGGGGTTCGGAGCATTACGCAGTAATCCCTGGTCTTATGTTAATCTTGTCTGTTAGCAAGGTCACCAGCAACCGTATGGATACAAACTATAGATAGTTCTTCTATGGCATTTATGCCATCAAATTAATTTCCATTACCAAACCAATATACGATCGATTAGTCATACTTATAATGAAAATTGAGTGTTAATACGCATAAATGGCATTACAAAGGCTTCAATGACACTAACGAATAAGTAGCAGGGTTTCCAGGGAAACCTTGAATCTCCTAGCAACACTTTATCTGTACGAAATATCAAAATCTACGTGAAGCAAGACTTCGGGTTAGGATTTTTAAACTCCACTTGGTGAAACTTTTGTATTCACCGACTTGATGAAACTTTATCATTTCTGTTAGAAATCTTAACAGTCCAGACTACAAAACATTCAGGTAAAATAGGACATTGAGTATACATAACCAACTTATGCGTCGACTGCACAGCCAATGTTACATAAAGGACTAAAGCTTTTTACATATTATGTGGAGAATTAACTACGGCACTACTTTTCTTACCGTCGGAGGAAATGAGGTGAACTGAATAGTAACTTAGATATCGCTCTATCCAATTTCATTACTTCTTTTAAGATACACCACTTTCGCTGACATCAATAAGGATTCAAAAGACGCGGTTGAATCATATTTGAGAGAATTACCGGTTCTCCCCACAAGGCAGTCAATATCTGAGACGCGTTACCGAAACAACTGGGAATAGTTTCTTCCATGATCACATACGAGGGGAAATTGGATTTTCGTAGCAATAAATATTGCGACAAACAACACAGGTTAACAATCTACTACTGACATTTAAATGTAAGCGAACAGGGAATCTTTTCTCTAAGTACCAGTTGAGTATCTAGAAGATAAGTCCCTTCTTCCATAACATAGGTTTGTAAATTACAAGTGATGTACGGACAACAGGGTTTAGGTGTGAGAAACCACTTTAATGAGCTCTTGTTGCACTTTTTATTACGTTACTCACCGTTCTCACAGGAAGGAAGAATGGAACACGAACATTCGGATGCGGCCGAGTACGGGTTCGGTTTCTTGACTTCAAGACATTTCTTGCATCACGAAATGTTGAGTTACGCTGTCGAACACGGTTACGAAGTAGTGTCCGAGCATCCGGTGTCCGAACAGTAAGGTTCAGCTTATTTCTTAGATCACGCTGACTATTATTATTTGATGCGTTTGTTTTCCCCAGTCGTCTTCTAGGATTACAACTTATAATACAATTCAGCGAATTACTTAACGGAAACCGGCCTCAGACGTCTCTCAAACGTAGCGTTCATTGTTGAAAATGACACCTGGACTGCTATATACTTTCAAACAATATTTTGTGGTCTGAAGCATGAATTGGTAAAAAGTGTTTTCTTAGACCTCAAAAACAATAAACCACATGACAAATCTAGTTTTATGACTGGTTTCAGACACACGCTTGTGATTCTTTTTCCAAACTTGCAGGATCCGAACAGCCATCCTTCAACAAAAGTGGGATTCACTCTCTTGTGATCTGTACATTATATAAACCACGATCCTTCATGAAAAATGTTACCTTTGTCTCATTTCTAGTGCTAGTTTCCGTTCAACAAGAGCTTATACTTTAGGATTTGTCCTGGTGCGAACTTGACAGACGCAAAGACCAATCACTAGTTATTCGGACTTGTTACATACCCACGAATGCGAGACCAAGGAAGAACACGATAGCGTAGTCGGATGGAATAGTATATTTAGATGGTAGTGCCAAGATACCGGTGCGTTCCAACTAACTGACTTGAGAGTCGAATACGAGTAGTGAAACGTAACACGACAGCGTGCCAAATGGCGAGGATGCTTGACCGGGTGCCTTCAGCTTAGTAAGTTCAGTTAAACTACCAAGGTCAGCATCAATGTCGAAAGTCGTCAAACCCTAGGCTATTAATTTTGGGGAAGTGTGTGACGCCGCAGATCACTCCCCCCCCTAGTGGGTTCGTGAGGACCCTAAGACGATACCAGCCGGAAGTAAAAACCCAGTGGTTTCTCCACTGGTAAAACTCTTTTGATGGGCTCGCTGAGTGAAGTGGCCCCTGGTTGTCTGAACTTATTACAGGGCGTCGTGGCAAGTTAAAAATAAAATACACTAAATCGAATTGGACGTCGATCGTAATCATCAGTTTTCTTCGACATTCCGTCAAGTGCTCGTTGCACCTGGAATATAAACGAAGGTCTTTAATACCATGAAACGCTTCGTAAAACTGGGAATTATGTATGTACGAATATATCGAAAAAAAGTTTAAGCTTATTTTCACCGTTTTTCTGAAAACGTTTTGTTACACGGTAATAAAAAAACTGACATGAAGAGGCAAAATGTGCGAGGATTTGCGCATTGCTGGTAAATAAGAAAAATTATTATTATTACTACCAGTCCCTTGGGTTCCTAATGGAATTTAGGGCTTCAGTAGCACGTCTCCAGTGAACTCTGCTCTCTGAAATCTTTTCAGCCCGGCTCCACGTCAGCCCATAAGCTCTCATTTCCTAAGCGCACCATCTCCTCCATGTCACCCTGAGCTGGGACGTCCAACTCGTCGCTTCCCATGGGGATTCCACTCGACGGCCTGGCCTGGCATGTGATGTCCCCAGTCTGCCTTCTCAGTGTATGCCCAGTCCATCTCCACATCCTTCCAGTGCATATTTTTTGGGTGATAGGTTCTTGGTTGGTTCGTTCCCAGAGTTCCTTGTTGCTTATTCTTATTATTCTGGCAATCCATCTGATCTTCAGTAGCGAGCCAGTGTAGGCAGTTGTTGATGAATGTCTGTAGTTTATTGGAAATGCCTTTCGTAACGTGCCAAGTCTCTCAATCACCATACAGAAGCACTGACTTGACTGACGTTGGTGTTGAAAATCCGGATCTTGTTCCACATGCTGAGTGCAGGAGATCTCCACACTGATTTCAGGCTAATGAACACCTGTCTTGCTTTTCCGATTCTGACTGGCGTTGACATCCTCGTCTGTGCCACCGCCACTTGTAGTTGAAACGGTGCTTCCTAGATAGGTGAAGGAGCTTACTTCCTTTAAGTTTCTCCCGTCCATGGCGACTAGAGTTTGTTGTTGTTGTTGTTGTCTTCACTTCAAAAGCATCACTGAGCTTCCCACTGTGAATTACTTGGCTGGTATATGGCGTCTTCATAAAGTTGTTGAATGAGTCTGATAAAGGTTTGCGGTACGCCGTAGTAATGAAGCAGTTACCAAATTACCTCTCGGCTGACGCTGTCAAAAGCCTTCTCAAAGTCGATAAAGTTGAGGTAGAGGGTTGACTGCCATTCTATACTCTGTTCTATGTTGATGCGAAGCGTTGCAATTTGATCCGCACATGATTTGTACTTCCTGAGTCCAGCCAGCCTGTTCCGGTCGTATTTCTGAATCAAATGCATCGTTCAGTCTCTCCAGGATGATGCGGCTTAATATTTTGCTCGGGGTGGGCGGGAGAGTGATTCCGCGCCAGTTCTTGCAAACACTCAGGTCTCCCTTCTTCGGCAGTTTGACAAAGTAACCCTTCTTCCAATCGTCAGGTACCTTCTCTTCCTTCCACGCCTTCTGCAATAGTGGTGTGGTGTGAGCGTGTCCGCTGTTGTCTCTGCGTCTGCTCTCAGTGTTTCTGGCGGGATCCCATCTGGTCCTGCTGCTTTCCCGCATTTCAGTAGCTTTATGGCGTTCAGGACTTCCATTTTTGTTGGAGGATTTATGTTCACTTGTAGTCCAGAGGCTGTAGGTGGTATCTCTGGACGAAGTGCAGGTGGTGGTCGATTCAAGAGCTTCTTGAAGTGGTCAGCCCATTGTTTCCTTCGTTTCTCTTCTTTCGCAATTAAATTTTTTTCATCATCTTTTGTTGGTTTCGTCTGTGTTGATCTCTTCAAAGGTAGCAGCCTGGTTATTTGATACAGTGTTGTCAGGTCTCTGTCTCTCCTACCAACAGCCTGCTTCCCTTCACTTGCCAGTGTGTCGTGGAAGTGAGATCCATTCCTTATCCTCTTTCTTCTTCCTTCCTAATACTGTTGTGCAGGTTTCTTTCCACACCTCTTTCAAAGACTTCCAGTGTTCTTCCACACAGGTTTCTTTGGGGATGTTCCTCGATATCTCCCATTTTGTCTTGATGGCTGCCGTGAAGATGTCCCTGGTAGTTTCATCCTTCAGTTTCTGTTCTGGGTGTTCTACTTGAACTGTGGTCTATCACCAGCTTCCTTGTAGGCTTTTAACTTGATTTGGAAGGAAGGTTCCTTGCACTAGATAGTGATCTGAACCTACATCTGCTCCTCTTCTTGACCTTGTGTTAAGTAGACTGCGTCTCCATTTTCTTGAGATTGAGACAAAGTCGATTTGATTTTTAGTGTCCATCTGGTGAAATCGAATCCATGTTGCTTTGTGGATATCCTTGTGCTTGAACACACTGCCCCATTCCAATCACCAAATCGTTGAATGCACAGAATTCCGCAAACAATTCTCCATTCTCGTTCATCACCTCACCCAGCGCTTCTTGACTAGTGGTTAGTTCTCTTCCTGAGTTGTCCCCTCCCAGTTTGGCATTCATGTCGCTCCACCCATCAGAATTTTGATGTCGCCAACTGACGTCTTGCCCAGTGTTGATTGGAGTTGTGTGTAGAATTCCTCCTTCTTCTCTTGCTCTGCATTATTTGTAGGTTCATAGTGTAGCATTGTATGATCGTGACCTTCCTTCCTTTTGAGTTGAATCTTGCTGTCATGATCCTGCATGAGGAGACTGATTCCCACTGCATGAGAGCCTTCGATGCTGTTGGGGACATCATGATAGCCACTCCACAACTCAGTGTGCTTGTGGTTGTCATGTGGATGACAATATCGGAGTAGATTGTTGATTCTCCAGTTGACAGTTTGGAGAGTCCACCCCCATTCCATCTGCTTTCGCAAATTGCAAACACTTCAATATGATACCTCTTCTCTTGTTTTCAATCTGGGCTGCCTTGCTGGGTTCAAACATCGTGCTGACATTCCATGTCCCCACGTTTACTTTCGCTTTCATCGAAAGAAGACACATGGGCCAACTGGCTTTCCGAAGGCAGAGTTTCACCAACTGGCGTCATTTCGCCTCTCCAATTTCAGCGGGGAATAATTTTGTTATTTTTTTAATATTTTGTTTGTGCTTTGAAGTTTCTCTAGCGGTTGGATTTGTTTTCCTGGGTAGGGTTGCTAGCCTTATGCCCGGCCTTCTCTCTTTACCCGGGCTTATGACCGGCTAGTGACTGGTGAACTAGTTAACTAGGCGAGGTTAAATAAGGAAAATAGTGCCTTGGAAAAACATTTAAGTGAAAAAAATATGGTTGGCACATTTTATTTCACACCGCTAGGTTGAATACGACTTCAAGTACTCTGGGAACCTGACGGTTCGACCTGATCGTGTTTTCTGTTGCGCCGATGGTTGTTGCAAACGTGCATTACCAGGGACATCGTCAAGAATTTCGATAATTGGGCTATGCGTCGGTCGGCCTAGCGAGCTGAAACGTCTCTTATAATGCGGCCGCCTTCGAAATAAGCTGGTTTCAAACGGTCGACACTGACAGTATCTTCACGTCCGTTTCGCTCAACTATGTAGAATTTCCCATGTCGTTTGATCACTTTGAATGGCCCGTCGTAGGGTGGTTCAAGTGGCCGACGAACGACGTCGTAGCGAATAAACACGTGTGATATCCTTTGCAAACTGGGGTGAACGAAAACATCAGCCGTTTGAGGTCTAACCGGAGAAGGCCCAACTGAACGCATTGCGTTTGTAAGCCTAGTCACGTACGATGCCCTATCGGAAACATGTTTGAAAGTTGAAGGAGAAACAAACTCACCTGGTAGGCGAAGAGTGGTCCCATAGACGAGTACATAGACAGGGTACATCCAGCACCAACTTTCAAGGCATTACGAATACCTAGTAGGACTAGAGGCAGAGCCTCGGTCCACTTAAGTCTGTTTGCAGCTGAAAAGGAAGCTTTAAGCTGTCGATGGAAACGCTCTACCATGCCATTTGCTTGTGGATGGTAGGCTGTCATTCGGAACCGGGTGCAACCTAAAAGTGCAGTTAGAGCGTGAAATAATCCGCAAGTAATCACAAGTGAAAAGATAGGCATCCATTAGATTCTGGTGGGGGTCCTACAATATCTATATGGACGTGGTCGAAACGCATGCCTGGGGCTAGAAGAGAGCCCGAAGGGCTTTTCGTGTGTCGCGCGACTTTGTACTTCTGACAAGCTGGGCATGACTGAGCCCACTCCTTAACGTTTCTGTTCATTCCCGACCAGCAGAAACT